TTAAAAAAAAAAAATATAATCTCCCTTACCTGCTTACCCTTATCTTCAAGGACAAATAATTCTTTTTGTAAGTAGGTATTACTTCACAAGTGTCTCTCTATGTGGTGGTTGGGCACAGAATCATATAACAGATCATAAATGGAAATTACCAATCCCCCTGGTTACTTCCTCAACCCAACTGGAAAGAAATTGTTTGGGCTCAGTTCATCTCTTTTGAGCTAGTATAGTGAATATCGCTATCTAATTAAAGCTAATTTAAATCCCAATTGCAACTGAAAAGTACCCATTGAGGACTTACATGTCTTCAATGTTTCAATGGCTGATGTAATTATGATACACCCATAAATATGGTTGTCAATCATTGGCTGTCTTTGAAATTTTTCAACAATGTGATAAAACTCCAAAAACCACGTTACAGGCACTCATATAGTTTTATTGAATAGTTATCTGAATAATTATGAAAAAAAAAATCAAGTAGCCTACATGTTGACTGCCTAGTTTTTTTTATAAACTATAACTATGTCCTGAAGTCGAGAAGCGATCTAAAATTTAAGAATCCCTTTAATACTGTTATTGAAATGGACAATTTAAATGTTAATGGATAAAGGTTATAAATTTTTTTAGTGATGGACCAATTGTCGGCGAGGTGCTCAAGTCCAAAATGTCATCTGCCCTTGGTGACCTACTGGATCGGGCTGTCATGAATCTGTTGACTGCAAAACAAAAATCAAATAATACGTGAGTTTTTGTTTGATTTAGTTATTACTATTTTATTTGTTTAGATAGGTTATAATATATGCTAATTATTTTTCATGTTTTCCCTCATTTATGATAAATACCTTGCCATAATTTTTGGTTATCTTAAAAAGGTTTTAGCTTCATTTTCTTTCTTATCTCTTTGCTCCTGTGGTGGGCTATCCCTATCTCTAAAAGTACAAAGAGACCAATTAATAGATTTTATTTAAATTATATATTTGTTTACAATAGGACCTGACTTTTACATTGTCAAGGCAAAAGAATTATATTGTTTTGTTACTGCTATTCAAATTATTGTATAACATGAACTTTTTTATGTAATTGAATTAATTTATCTTAAACTTCTATTGAACATCTGGATCAAGCTGAAAAATACATCATTTGTGAAAAAATAAAGGACAAGTAATAAATATATTGTTTGCTAAACCTACTAAATTTTTTTTTAATTACACACACGGAATCCAACCATACCACAGCAGTAGAAGGATTCCTTACAGCAGTTAATTCTTCTGAGGTCGAACATCAGTTACAAAAACTTCCTCTCCGTAAATCTCCTGGATACGACCTCCTTACCTCTCAAATCATTTTTTTTGCTCGGGTGTATTTCTGGACATAACTCAAGCATTCGACCGGGTATGGCTCGCCGGAGCTCCAAGCTGAAACCATTCCTTGTACCTAATCCTCCGCTCCTACCTCTCTGCTCTAGGTAAAAGTACTTTTCGAGTTCGCTGTGGTACAGAATTTTCCAATTTGTACCCAGTTGAAGCCGATGTTCCTCAAGACGGGGTCTTGGGCCCCGTCCTTTATATCTTTTACCATTGATATCTCTGTCCATCCTGATACCTTTCTGGCAACATTTGCCGATGACACCGCCATCTTATCATCCAACCAGATCCCAAAATAGCATCTTTAAATCTACAAAGACAGTTCTCCCTGATTGAGCACTGGTGTAATAAATGGCGCATCAAAGTAAACGAATCCAAATGCAAACACATTACCTTCACACTCCGGCGCAGATCCTGTCCATCAGTCCACTTTAATTCCATCCAGCTTCCTTTTTCAGACACAGCCCAATATGATGGCTTTCTTTCTTAGACCGAAGACGTAACGTGGAACCCACACACTAGACTTAAAAGACAAGAACTTAACCAACGATACGGCAAATTATGCAGACTGACTAGAAAATCACAACTTTCAATTGACAATAATTACTGATTTACAAGAAAATCCTGAAACCTATTTGGACCTACGGACTTGGACTTTGGGGGACAGCAAAATTTTCTAACATCAAACACATCCAATCCTTTCAATCCAAAGTTCTCCAAACAATAGTTGATGCTCCGTTCTATGTAACCAACAAAACCTACATCATGATCTTAATATCCCAACCAGTGACGTGGTTGAGAGAGTAGCGCAGGGATCTCTTGGAGTCCTGCTTTTCCTTCTATAGTTGGAGGGAGAAGCCTGGCTTGGGGTTCCCTGCCTGATTGTATATAGGTATGACTGTGTTTTTATGTTTTTAATTTACTTATCTTTAGGTTATTTTATTTTTTTATTGTACATAGTTTTTGATTATTATTTAGTTATTATTTTACTTTTGTTAATTTTATATTTTCTTTATATATGATGTGAATCTGTTCATATATCACTATAATTATTGTCCACGTGACAGACCATTATATTTCTGTCACTTAGGGTGTAATAAAGCTGATGTTTTAATGTGAATACACAAATATTAATTCCCTTATTAATGCCTCCATCCACTTAAGTCTGGCATTTGTTTTTATTTCCAACTCCATGTGTGAAACCTGAATTCTATTCCTAGTAAACATGAAAAGTTGGAAATTTTTAAGAAGAGTGGTAAAATACTGTGTTTATTACGTTTGTTAATTTTATAATCTTTTAATATTTTTTTCTTTAAATAAACAAATTTTTACCAATTTTGACTTATTTGCTAAAATCTTATAGTAAATTTAAACATTTTAAATTGCTTATAATAAACATACATATTTTGAAGTAATTTGTTAATTTTGTCCAAAATTTTATTTTTGTATAAATTTGATTATTTTTTTATATGTTTATACATTTCTTCTTTGAAATTGTTATAGATACTTTATAACATAATTATTGTTATATTTTTAGGCTTGAAGGTGCTACAGATTTATTCTCTAAGCTTCAGGCTCAAAAAGATGGTTTAACAGATGAAGAATTTAAAACAGCTGCACCATGCAAGCCATTTTCTTGTACTATTTGTGGACAAAAGTAATTATATAATTATTCTTGTTCTTTGATATCTATATAATTTATTTTGTATTAATATATAATTAAAAATAATTTTTAATAAGTTTATATTTATTTAAATTGAATTAGAAATTCCCAACAAAACATTCTATTTAATTGAACATAAATTTTTGTAATGGATTCAGGCTTAAAATGGGGTACTTAGTGGGTGAAATTGAATTAACTCCCATCTTCTACTTACATTGTATGAGGTTTTCTTTATATTCAAATTTTCATTTAAGAAAAGTTTTGTAAGTGTATAATTCTGCATCCATTTAAAGAAACATAGACTACAGAATTGGTTGCTCCCATTTTGTTTTTTATGAGAGTTATGCTTTGTGATCACAATTTCAGTTAGTAGCTGTACTTGATTCATTGAAACCTTTTTTTGAGTATATTAATCAACATTGTCAGAAGCAAATTTTTTGCACTGCCACATTCTACTGCTCACAGGCATGGCAGGTGGGCAGTGCCATCTCCTCCAGTTATGAAGAAGTTCTTTAACAGCATGTTCACCAGCTGAAAAATGTATGTGAATTTCCCTTGTACTGGATAAAAATTTGAAATGTAAAAGTATTTTCTGGTTTTATATTTTCTAAAACCTGGTCAATAATTCTTGATATGTAGTTTGAAAAGAAATTTCAAATCTAAATACTGGAATAATAATTGACGTGGTGTTCAACGTTCCTAACAGTATTGCACTCTGATTGGTTTGCATAAGGTTTTTGCAATACGTGATTGATGGTAACAAAAGTTCTTTATAGATACTCTTTCTTGTATTATCAATAATGTTGTGACAAATCACTGCTATCAATGTTTTCCCCACGAAATCTTCTATAAATATATTTGTAGCTCCTTAGGAAAAAGTTTTCGTGTTAAATGAGAAAAATTTGAATAACTGTACGGTGTTTAGCAGCCAGAAATATGTGGGGAATTTCATAGAAATAATATGTTTCTCCAATTTTCATAAACTGTGAAATAATTTATTTTAGCCATTTATATTTATATTAAATCTATTTTTAGTTGATATTATATGTTTAGGGACAAGTAAAATTAAATTAACAGTTTATGGTTTTTGTAATAAGTATTAGTTCTTTTATCGTCATTTTTAAGTGTTTTGTACCTCTACTATTTATTTTTTAAAGGGCCTTGTTTTTAGTAATAATAATGCTTTAATTTTGTTTTTATTGGATTAAATGAATTATTTCAGGTTTTCTCTTCCATCGTCAAGAGATAAGCACCAGGTTCTTGCACATCGCTCTTTCATTCTATCGAATACACCTTCAGAACACTGTTTAATAGAACAATATGATAATGGTGGGTAAAATTAGTGTTTAGTTTGAGATTAGATTTATTATTTCTGTATTCTGAATTCAACTTCTCTCTGCTCCATATGTCATAATGATCAATACTATACTTTTATATATATTCATTTTGGTTTTAGAAATAATATTTTTGTACCTTAATATTGAATTTTATCTATTAAATCTGTTTTATTTAAAACTCGAAACCATGTATACAAGCAAATTAATAAGTTATTTTACTATAAATCTTGAAGAAAATGAAATATTGACTAAAGTCAAAAGTAAAAAAAAAATTATTATTTATTTCTTAATATGACTTATTATTTTTATCATATGTATGAATTCTGTAAAATATAGATTGGAGGAGATCTCATTCAGGATCTGAAGTCAATGGAAACAATGGGATTGAAACTACAATGAGCCCTCTGTGTAATGGTAATTTTATTTTTCTATTTTACTTAATTTGGCAACCAAATATATGTATATTTATGTACTTTACTCATGATCCCATCATTTCTACATTTGGAATGAGTCTAACTAACATCTATCCAAATAACATTTTTTATTTATTTTTTAAAAAAATTTTGAACACAGAATTTTGAAAACGAGTAACACAAAAAGCTCATTCTCATGAATTTTATTAACTGTTCATCTTTTATAGGCTGCTGCCCAAGCCATGTTCCTTCCAGTTCATTACCTGATTCTGATGCAGAGGACTCTACAAGTAGAGGTAAAAAAAGAAAGTCTAAACGGAATTCGAGGCTGGGGACTCAGCAAGCTAGGTTAGTCAAAGAGCGGGCCAAGGCTGCCCTCCGAGAGCTGAACCTCCCAAGGCAAAAAACCAGCGACAAAAGATGGGTGCCTTCATGCAACAGCAAACATATCACTGACAATTACAGTTTTACCAATGAATCTTAGTAAAATTATCAGCTGTTATGTTTTAACAGACTGATACTGCTATATGTATGTGATATTTTTTAATGACTGAAATTTTATACTATTCTCCTTGTTACATAATGTTAATTTAAGTCTGATTAGATACTCCAATACTTTATAAGAGAGTTTGAAATAATCAATGAACTTCTATGAACTAATAAATAAATTTCATTAATGTAAAGTTATAATATTTTATAGATTTTTATGAAATTATGTTTGTTAGACTAATTTATTAATAATATTTTTACTGTTATCACCTAATTATATTGTTAATATATCAACTGTTGTAATTCTATGTTTTAATTTTGAATTGTAAAGAGAAGGTAAGCCACCAGCTGAAGATAAGCCTATCTGTTGCTGGATGATTAGGTCAACTATTACAAGACACACCTTGATTGCTAAGCAATGAATCTAACACAACCATTATTAATTGGCAGTCGATTTAAAATATGTCAAACCAGAAATTTATCCTTAGAAAATTTATATTGAGCAGAAGGTACATCACTCTAGTTTAACATGTTAGCTGCGGTCACAGTCCCCGGCGTTCGATAGCTCTATATCATATATAATGATTATTTTCGTTTACACCTATCCAACTCCCATTAAAATGTTTTTATAAATTACCATTTTAGAGACTTTGTAAGATAGGCAAAATTCGAAACAATTCCAGCCGAATATCGGAACTCCGGAACCGTAGCCGCAGCTAACGTGTTAAGAATCCAATTATCCAACTTGTTCTTCATCATGAATGAAGCTTAACCTTTATCTCTTGAGGTGTCATCAGGCTATTAGTTTTAAAGTTTCTACTTTAGTCTCTTCACACAGGAAGTTCCTTGGAATCTGATCGTCTTCTGTTGTAATGATAAAGTTGGCTAGCTAACCTTTGCTATTTTTACGATATTAACAGTTTTATTTAGTTCCACTAGACAGCTACTTGTCCTTTAAATACATTGATTTAGGATCAAATATTCTGCTACATTTTTTTTTTGGCATTCAAATCTAAATATCTTCTTTAATATTGTTAGCAAAAAGTTTCAATGGAGTGAGCCTAGATATTTGAAATTCCCCTGAAAGTAAAGTTTCTAATTTTTGTATCTAATACTTATTTTCCTTGGGCTTGGCAGATTGTATTGTTAGATAAATTAAAAGAGAAAACTTAAAGCACTTATCTTGGATTAACTTATTTATCTTTCTTTTTATTTACTCAGCTGCTCTCTATGTGTCATCAAAATTATCCCGCATAAAATTCAAATCATCTTCCTATGGTAATTAAGTTTCCATCATCATCTTCGCATTAGTATAACTATCATATCATTCGTTATAATCGGAGATTATTTCTTCATGTTTGTCTTTCTTCCAGGTACAGTTAGTAACTTAGGCTTACTTGGACTCGAGCCGATAAGTGTTTTAAATTAGAGGAATATTATGAGGTCGTGAAAAATTGTTTGAAGATTTATCTCAACCCACTTTACTATATTATTGTATGCATAATAAAAAAAGGAATTTCAGGAACGATTTGTCAAAGGTAGCAGTATATCTTTGGTAGTTAGGGATAGTTGGCATTGGGCACTTAAGATTAATTGTCATCTTGCAATGCAAGGGAGATTGATGAAATGTTTTCAAAACAACCTCCTTGTATGTGACTGAATGAAATTATTGTTGAAAAAGCTATCAACAATAAGGTGTTCTAATAACATTAAAAGAACTCAAGTCGCCTATGAGCACAAATCCTAGGAAATCTTGATATCAGTTTACACTCTTGTGTATTAGCACAAATACATTTTGAAATCATTTGTTAAGAAATGTTCACTTTTAGGCACTACTTATCCTCAGTTATGGTATTTTCTTTCTCTAATAAAGCCGTTCGCTATTCTTTTTCCATATTTTTCTAGCTTCTTGTATGTCAGTTTGATCAGCACCATGTTAATAATGTAATGAATGTGAATCATCAAATTTTCAATTTCGTTTGTCTTCATGTATTCCATAAGGTCCACCTTATGGCAAAATGTAGAATCTGATCGGCGACCAGAATCAGTAATGCAATTTCTGGCTTTGTTAGGTCTGTACTTGTGGTAGTAACAAATAACCAAAATAGAAAACTGGGCAGATTTACATTTATTGCTTTAACATGGTGCCAGTGACTTAACCTCACTTTCCAGGTTGGTGATAAATTGGCAAAGCACGGGACTTCTTAGGATCTAACTACTTTTATAAATACTTTCAATAGCTATTTTACATTTATGAGGAGTTGGTCAGAGGGTGAGGTCTAATAAATACTATTTGTTAAAATAGTATTTTATTGTTTACGACATTTCTACTCACTTTGTAGGTCTTCATTCACTCCTTCATCATCTGCTTCTCATATTATAATCATGGTCAACCATCTCTACACTATTTTACATTTAGTCTAACATTAGCCATTGTGTCCTGACTGGTCTAGTTTTTTACTTTAACTCAGTAATTCAATAAAATACGCAATATGTATATAAAACAAGAAAAGGTCTCTAAATGATTATTTTTAAAATAAGTTAATTAATATTTATTATTTTATAGATATTGAAGAGAATTTTGTATATATTTTATTTACTACTAGCTGATGTAGTACCCATCGTTGACGGGTACATAGTTAAAATTTGAGAATATCTTTTATAGATGAATTTTGTATTTTAGGGGGAGGAGGGTACAAATTCAATTTCATAAAATTGAGAGGGAGGATGGTGGTTGTTTTGAATTTTTTTTATGGCGGGGCAAAATCTTTATTTTATTTATATAGATGTTCTTTAACCTATAAACATATGTTAATTATTAACATTAACTGAGATCTCTAGATAAATTACTCAAGAATTCATAACTTTGGTTATACTCAATATTTTGTTTTCATCTAAAGCCTATGTTTTAAGTCAAGCAAACCTTAATGTAATGTTAAAATTTACAAAGTCTACAATAAGCCATTGCTGAGCTTCCCCCTGACAAAATTTCGTTTCAATGCTGACATACAGACAAAAAAAATTTTTAAATATGGATTTGGTGTCTGCAATGTATGAAACGGAAAGATATATAACGGGTTGATTATATTCAATGTACGGACAAAATCTTTATTTTATTTATATAGATATTAAGATTATTAAATAAACATAAATATTTTATTTTGTACATTTTTTTATTATTTGTTCTAAAAATGACAAACCATCTATTAAAATTATATGTTCTAATAGACTGCTGTAATACAGAATCCACTTCTCTGACCCTCTTAACCTAATACTTTTGTAAATTGTTATTCTGCCTCTTTAGCTATCTATCCTTCCAAGATTTAATAATATTTGTAAGCAATAATAAACTTTTCTTAATTTAACAAAAAAAGTTTTGTGTCAAATACTCACATTGGATTTATTCTTGATAACTAATATATCTAATCATTTCATCTCAACTTATTATTAAAAATATTTTTAAACAAACTATGAAAATTTATATTTTATTACTCTTTCTGATACTAAGATTAAATGATTTTGAAAATAAAATTAACATTAATATTATAGGAATTCCTAATTATTTTGGCTACAAAATGGAATCATGTGGTTAAAGAAGAATAGAGAGAACTAAGTTAGTAAGTCAATTTTTCACTTTATCACGTGTCTATACCCTTACTTGAGAAACAAAAAAGCACCAAACCATTAGCGGCTTTATCAGAAAAGTGAATTTATTCAGTAGGGGATAATAAAATTAAGAAAAATACTTAATTCCATAGGATCAATCAATTATATCTAACTTTGCGAGCGATTTAGAGCTGTATAAAGATGATCAATTCTTAATTTAAAGTTAGCAAGATACATGTGACAACTGGTGTAGTTGATGAAGGCTTATATAGAGTTATAGAACTAGTTTATGGTAGGTGATGCTGTAAAGCTTAAGAGAAGCAGAACAAATAGACCTAGAATTAAATGAAGATTTAACAAAATATACTGTAGTAAGCCAAAAAAATCCATTACCTCTGCGTGCTGCAACTCGACAAACGATGCAGAATAAATCAGTAAAACTTAAGACAATTATTTAATGGTCTAGAGAATACTAACATAGAATATTAAGTAATTTAATTTGGTCACAGAGAACTAAGAGCCGGAATCGAGAATTTTTATTTTAAATAACTACCAACCAATGCTTGGTCAATAATCTTAAATTCCTAATATTGTTGGAAATTTAAAATTTTCATTACAATCAACTTAAATTTTAACCTTTTTTTTTTTTTTAAGATATGGGGGTAAAAAATAAATAAAGTTATGGTAACCTGTATGTACTAGGGTTATCGACGGAAGCCTATTTATTTAGGAAATCAATAGCCATTCCATTAAACATATTTTTTATTTACAATTTCATAAAAATAATTATAGGTAGTTATTTTTATAAAAATCTGCAAATAGTAATGACCTTACTATATTAAGTCTAAATTGATAAAAAATTACAGTACAAAAATAAAAAATCTAAAAAGCTACACCCATTTGAGCATGATAATGACATTTCCATGTATTTTACTTAGCCAAAACCACTGTAGCTCACATAGTAAGAACACTGTTTTTATAAATTGATAGTTGTTGGGTCAAACTTATGTGTTAGGTTTAGCTAGTTTCCACAAATCATACACCATTTTTGTTTATTTAATCTCGAGAGGTAGGCTAAGTATGCTTAAACACTCATTTTTTCAATTTCTTAAACTTAAAGAAGTGGATGCTCTATGAGAATCTCAACTAATTAAAAATATTACCATAAACTTTGTTAATCTATAATAGTATATTTATTAAGTATAAAGATACTATTAAATCAGAACTTCTCATCCACATGTGAATAAAGCTGAGATTTAATGTTTTAGTTGGTACAATTTCACAAAAAATACACATTATTTTTTCGAAGATACAGGAATTACTTTAATATTATTTATCACATTAAAGAGAGAAAAACTTTTCTTGCCTGGTCACTTGTACTAACAAATAAGGAGCAATTTATTTATTAAAATATGAACACATTAGTATTCTTGATTAGATTATTGTTCTTTCATGGATATTTGTTCCAATGGAACTTGGAATTATATTTGTTTGTTTTTTTAGGATGATTTTTCATTCCTCGCTAATTTTAAGTCCATTTAATTAGGTATTAACTTTACCAAGCTTAGCTAAGCTTTTTTATTTTTCAGAAAAAGGATTATGACCTGCTTAAAAAATTTAACTTGCTATATGATGACTGTGAGATGATAAAACACAAAGATACATGTGTATTTAAAAATTTTTTTTAACAGGTCATTTAAAAAGGAGTGGAAAAACAGAAAGGGCATTAAAAAAGTAAAACACATTCATAATTTTTACATTTTTTTTGGTTTGTTTATTCAAAATGCAAATGTTACGTGAAAAATTAATTTTGGTTTACTTTTTGTACATTATGTTTAATTTTTTTTTTCTTCAGTTCATTTCAACCTTTTTTCCTGATGTTAAAAAAAAGATGATTACATACATTCCCCTGGGGTTCGGACACCCGCTAACATTTGATTTATCTTACATATTCTCATATTTCAACTACGGGCAAGATTACAGCCCTATACTAAGGTGGTAGGGGGACCCACCAAGTGGACTTTTAATTTGATTTTAGAGTTCATTATTTTTTAGGCAGTGACAATGATGTTACAAACAAAAATTGTACGTATCTCGACGACCGTCACTTCAGCATTTAACAAACTTCGTCGTGATCGTAATGGGGCTCACAAACACCTGCATTTTATTGGCAACAAAACCTATATTCAAAGATTTTTTTTTCTCTACATTTAACTCTTAAAAATTTACTTTTACTCTTGAATCATATTTAAAAATCCATTCAACTTTTGAAAACAAATCTTGTGTAATTCAAAACCGTTTTAGTAATGTGGTAGTGATCATTCATACAAGTTTGAATATATGTTATAAAATCATTTTTGTGATTTCGATGGTTAGGATAAGAGATACATTATATAAAACAAATCAGAAAACAAAAACAAATAAAACAAAAATTTAAAGAATACAAGCTCTCACATTCTTTCAAAATCCAGTATCTTTGACATCTTTCATACCTGATTTTACATGTTCTCATCTCATAAAAAACAAAGCCACCACAGACATACTTGATCTTTAATTTTTTTTTTTTTTTTTGAAAACACTTAAAGATATACCAATGAGACAAAAAAATGAGAAAAAATAAAAAAATAACACATCCTACAAAGCTTAAATTTTTGAAGGCAACCACCTAAGCTGAGCTCAAGAGATTAATCAATTTAAAGTAATTTATCAATTGGATTGAATAAAAATCGTAGAACAAAATAAATGTTTTTAAGTGGAATAGAATATAACTAAGCATGCACAAAAAACGACTATAAATATCATTAATTAATGGCTAAATGGAGAAAAATGTGATTTCAGGAATTGAAATCAAATGTCCAGGCAGGCAATAACAACTATTATTCTAAAGCTGTAAGCAATATATAAATGAAAACATATTTTACTTGTACCATTTTTTTAAAATGTTAAAAGGAAATTGAAAATTATGTCAATGACTATAGAAATGAAAGCAAACAACATCAACAACGAGGATCGAGACAAAAAATAAAATCAGTATTAAATTCAAATATGATTTTTACTACCAAATGGTTTCTTAAAAGAATTCATGAATGGTGTATAAATTAAACAGCAACATTAAAAAACCAATAAATAAAAATTATATCTTTTTCAGCCCCATTCTTTATGACCTAATTACAAAAGAGATCCTTCAACAGCCTTGCAAAGACTAAGTCACGACAAGAAATCTTTACAAACTAAAATCTAATGAATGCAACAAAAAAAAAAAAAAAAAAAAAAAGAAATAAATTAAATACAAAAAGAAAATGCCAAACATGGAGCCAAAATGGAAGTTCATTTAAGATAACTTTCTCACATCCACTCTCTTTCTCCAACAATGAGAAATTAAAAAAATAAAATACCTCGAGGGGCTAAAAAAAAAAAAAAAACTCCGTATTTTCGGTGGTAAATTATTAACTGAGTAATTGTGAAAAATAAATATGAATTTAAAAAAAAAAAATGAAGAAAAATCATAGTTCTTTTGAAGTTCAGGCTGTACTCTCATCCACAGTATTATGCACTGCCTGTGTTGTCTCCTGCAAAATAAAAATGCATTATCTATTACACAATATATAAATTTAAATCTTGACATCAAATAATATTTTTATGTTGTTATTTAATTCATTTTTTTTTTAAATATGCTATCAAGCCCCTGAAGATCTTTGGATTAAGATGATTTTTAATAGTCCATAAAACAGGATCGTAGTTAATTCGTTTAGTTTTAGTGTCTCAAGTAGAAGTATTCAAATTCAAAACGGACTTATAGCAGCAAAATAGCCAGTACGACTGATCTACCTCTATTATACGGGAGATTCTTCCATTAGATGTCCTGTTTTCCAAACAATGCAAGTACTACTACCATCTATGACCCCCTCCTTATTATCTAATTAATTACTTACAATTTCTAGAAACTAATATGACCAACTAGTAGGATAAGGATTCTTGGTATAGACCATGAATGCTAAACTTCTTAATCACTTGTGCCACACGTGAAGCGCTGTGGGTATGTGTCCCCACCTTTACTCTTACTTGTTAATTTTGTGATTTTTTCTATTTTAAACAATATAATTATTAGATAATATGTTTCGTAGTCTACTGTGTTTTCCTTATTCCGCATCGGTTTTTAAAAGTGATGCATTAATTTTGTGTGATAAGTTTATGAATATTTTTTGAACTTCAAAATTTAAAAAAAAATCTTAAAAAACATCCTTGGTGGTCACACAAAACAAATCTTGTCACTCCCTCTCAAGTTAGTAATGGGTTACAGCTTTTAGCAATTAGTACAAAATGTCCATAGAGATACAATGTTAGGTTATATCTGACTTGAATTGAGCTGTGTTATTTTTAGAAAAGAAGTCAATATATATGTATATTTTTTTCTGTTCACAAGTATTTTATATATATATGTATATATATATATATATATATACGTCCTAATTTGTATTTATTTTATGATTTTAGAAGATAATATTTCAGTATTAACATTTTCTCTCACCTCTTTTTCTTATTTTGTACATCGACTGAAAATCCTCGTGTCAAATAGGTCTTCCCAATTGTTTTATTAGGGTTATATGGAGAGGCCATCATAAGTATAGTATATGGAGACTGAATGGAAGACCAGGAATTAGAGGTCAATATTTTTTATATTTTTATTGATACTTAAAAACCTGTAAGATCAGATCTTGAAATTGCTCGGCGTATCAAATAGTAAAATTTAAAATAATTTATGCTACCCTTTTTTTAGCTTTAATAAATGCTCACCATATTTTTCTCACTGTACAAAATACCTTAGATTTATAACATACTACACAATGTGCATAACAGCAGATATTTTCTCATTGTTCCAGATATTTCTTTTTGATATACAAACACAATGTAATAAATATATAAATTTTGAAATAAAACAGTTCTAAATTAGCCAATAAAGGGCCTCGAAGTGAGACATTCGCTAAAGAGTGGATTTCAATTTTTGCAATACTTTGCCTTGTTTGAGCAACTCATTTTTTCAAGGTTAGGCTTCTTTGCTATTGATGCCACATCACAAAAAAACTAGTATAAAAACTAATAACAACTTACAATTTTTTTTGACATGCAGAATCTTTAAAGAAATAACATGAACAAATAAGCATGCAAAAGCATAAATAAAAATAAAATTAAGAAGTGTTAGAATAATGATTCACAAACCTGTAACAGATGACCCTTAAAAAACAGCTTTCTTATCTGGGGTTAATATTAACATAATTATGTTTCAACAAACAAAATAAAAGCAAGATTAAAGGCGGGAAATTCGTGTTAATTACTCAGTTCATGCATAATGTCCAGAAACCTGAAAGTAACAAGTTGTAAGGCTGTTACAGTTCCCACTCTCCTTTACAGGCATTGAATGATGCAAATATTACAATTGAAATGAATGTTATTAGGCCGAATGAAGATCGAATAAGAAGGAAAGGAAATTGACTCTTAGGTAACAGGTTAGTTCTTGGAGTATAGAAAAAATGAAAATCTCTTTTGCCAACCCAGCACAAAATAATTTGGTTTCCCAATATAAAAGGACAAAACTAAGAAATGGATGGAATCATTAGTAAAGATTGAGACAAGTAAGAATTACTAGCTAGTAGATCATAATTATTCAACAGACAAACAGTACAAGCTGTGTATAAAATTATAATGAGGATAAATAAGACTTTATATTATATTAATCAAATTAAAATGATAGTTTAGTTCCAGCAGAATTGGAACTATCACTGATTCCCCCAAGGGACCACGGTGGGAGTATACACCTGCCATTGAGATCTGCAAACAAAAGCTGGTTTTTGTTTAAATTTCAAAATATGATTATATGCATGTAAGAAATAACTACCAAGAGTAAAAATAGGAAAATAAAAAAACTAACATCACTGACTGTTGACAATGGCGGGTGTATAGCCTACTCCATTTTATTTTTTTTTAAATTATCGTGATTAATTTTTTTTTTTTTTTATGATATTTACAACTGTATTACAAATAAAAATACATTCAGTAAATGTGAACAAAAGAATATAATAACATGAAGTCACTTGTTGAGAAACTACCCACTGGTAGCACTCTAAAAATGTATTTACAAAAGAAGATCTTGAGGCCATATAAATTATTTTTAAAACTAAAATAATGCATGGTACTTTTTTGTAACAGTATACTACAACTTTTGAAAGAAAAAATAACTTGGTCCACGGAGAAAGTTTTACTCGAATGACATGGTCGTTGTTAAAGTGTTAATAACTGATTATAATTATAAAACCATCCAAAAATAAATTAATAGGTGATAGGATCTAACAACTAACAAGTAGACCTTGATAGGTTTGAGATCAGTAAAGATAAAAATGAATGCATTATATTATTATTATTATTCGGTATATGTATATATATATATATATAAACTAAAAACATTACTCTAAAGATAAAATATATCTCTCAATACCTCGTAAATTCATGCACTAAATCATTACAATCATACACTATTATCATTAGTTAAAGCAAGTACTAATGTTGTTAATAAGAAGAATAGTCCGAAAAATATTGCTAGATTTAATTAACTTTTTTTTTCATTTTAATTTGCTTAAAAAAAAAAAATCAACTGTTCACAATTGATCAAATTATTCTTACAAGTATCAAAACTAGTTACATATCTTTAAATGAGAAAGTAAGTTTATAGATATAGCTAGATTTCCATTCCGAATCCTTTTACAATGTTGAACTCAATAGGGATGGGCATTAACAGCCAAAAACATTAACTGAGTTAGGGAAGATGACACTACGGGTGATTGAATTCTGGAAGACGTCACAAAAACTTCTGTAGATGATAGCTTTTAGCCAACTTTGGTAATCCAGGAATTGTTTCATCACTTGTTGCGAAATCTTTGGAAAGACATTTTGGCAATCCTCAAGTTGAAAAATTTATTTCTTGTAAATTTTATGAAAAAAAGATAAAGATGCAAGAATCAAACTTAATGAAGATATGAAATGATCTTAAATGTTGAATGATAATTCTAGAAGTTCCAACTGGTTTGCAGTAAGGTGATAACAACATTATGTGAAATACAGAGATACGCATTAGCATGAATTATAAAATCCATGTCAATTTATTTATTGGTCAATTTATGGAATAGACAAGTAAATGAAGATAAATCTAAATATATGATAATGAAGGGTGACCAAAAATTCTACCCCAATAACAGAATCTACATAGAAGAGAAGTCGCTACGGAGAGTAGACAAATTCAAATACCTTGGCTCAACAATAACCTCGGTGAATGATCAATGGTCACAAAAAGTCTGGCATATAACATGTGCAAAACAGAGCTTTCTTCTCTCATTCATAGCTATTGAAATTCCGAAAAATCTAAAACTAAGCTATGATAAAACCAGTCCTGATATACGGCTATGAGACACTAACAAACACCTTAGGAAAAAGTATAATAGATTTGAAAGAAAACTCCCCTGCGCAATAACCGGAGAGATCTGGATTAGAGTACTAACGCATGGAGGAGAAAGGCCAATAAAGAGTTGTATATAGAAACTGGTCAATCGATATTTCATGATATGAAGGTAAGGAGGTTAAGATGGGTGGAACATTAGCTCGTAGTAATCCATCTGGAAGCCTTTGCACACCAATGAATGCCTAATTAGGAAGCAAAAGACCACCTGGAAGGCTAAATACCAGATGAAAGACTAGAATTAACTAATATGCTTCATGCAAATAATTGGAAAGCAATAGCCAAAAATCTATTGGGTCTGTAAAGCCAACAAGGGGAAAAAAAATAGTTACAAAACAGAGTGGAAGCTACTTTGCTAAAAAAAAGTGTACATTTATTCGGTTTTATACATACATCACTTTATTCAAAGGATCAAACATCAAACAAAAGCTCTCGAGTTGCAACACTTCAAGATTGATATTGGTCATGAATTTAAATTGAAATTTAATATAACCCATTTCTCTCCATATTTGCCTACTTCTAATCAAACTCCACTATACCCCACTCTATTTTATATTATTCCTATTTAATTCCTTTTATGGCACATATTCCCTTCTCTTTCATTTTTTCTATGTCTTAATCTTGAATATTATAACTGTTTTCAAAGAAACAATCTAGATTCATATATAAAGGTTTGACTGTATTTACCAAAGAGACTTAGAATCAAAACTACCTCATCAATATTACTGCTCTCCAGACCTTATGCCTATTGACTTCAATTCTTAGATGGCAGGAGTACACATTGTAAGAGAAGAACATATAAAAATATTTAACATAAAAAGTGCATTATAGGGTCAGATGAAATCGAATTCAACATAAAAGAAACTTTGGTTTTATGGCTAAGATCAAATATCTGCAATCATTTCCGGACATATCCACAGAAGGCTACACCACAGATCAATAATAAAACAACTACTATCAGATCTTTGCTAAAACATTAATGGCACAACCAAACCTTTAATATTCTATAGTTAAAAAAACAAAACAGTTATATATTGAATACCTGAGGTGGAGGGGCTGCCTCAGCAGTTTCTAGTTTGATCTCACCAGGCTCCGGCTAAAAATAAAATTGGTAAAAAGAATTCATGATATTAAAAAAAAAAATTAAAAACAGAAATGGGAAGAGCTATAATAAATTGGATTATCAGATAATTTTCTAGTAAAAATCAATTGGTTTTTAAAATTATTATAGACCATTTAGTATAAAATTAATTATAAGTTTTGAATGGCTGGTAAGATTAAGGCTGAAATATGTAATAAATGTAAAGTGGAAAGAAACAATTAGTTAGTCAGTTCTAATTTCTTACTCAAGTTGCCATTTTTAAGAATATATAATTAATCAATAAGTAGAATAACATAACTGATGAAAATAATGACTAAAAATGAGAAATTTTTTATATTAACTATTTACAATTAGTTTTGAGGTAATAAATTATTTAATTAATAATAAACTTGAGAACCGAAAATCTTACAAGTGTATGTCAAATAAAACAAACGATAAGAGAGCTACTGTTTTTCTTCAAAAGCCTAAAAGATTATGGGGATAATAACCAATTAACTGCACATAACAACAAAAAACAATTAAATATTTTTTTTTACCTCTCGGCGTAGATTAACAATTATTAATAATAAACCTACTCCCGATATGAATTTTCAAATAAATTTTAGCGGTAACCATCCCCTTTAATTTCAGGAATTTTCTTTAGATAATAAGAAAAAAGTTGTTAAGGGTTAAATATATAACATAAGGAAAATATAAAATAAAAATAAGGCAATAAAATTAATCAATGAGTAAACAGGGACACAATAGATACTCACCTGAAATTTCTTTTTGGCGGTGGTAGAAAAAGAACTGAACTCATCGTTCCTTTTCCATATAATATCAACCTATATCTAATTGCTAAGTGAACTACTTACTGACAGCTGTGACAAAAAGCAAAATTCTACTTTGTGCTACCTCTAAGAGACAATTTTGGTGTTATAATTGAACAGATTAAGAGAGTACCAGAAAGATTTACTATATGAGCACATTAGAATTTAGACAATCACTGAACAAATGTTCAGTAATTGTTTCCAGGGAAATTTTGACTCCAGTGTGTGGTACAGCTTCTTGAAACTAATATATCTTACAAAGCCTCATATTTTGGTTTATCCATTGTCCAGGTGCAGTCTATCTCCTTCAAATCAAATGTCTCATACTCAAAATATAAGAGTGATATCATGTATCTTTTTTTATTTCCCCCCCCCTGTTCTTCACTATCTCGCCTTTTAGGCTATACAGGATTTTCCGGGACGGGGGATGAGGGCGGGGAATTTAAAATCCCTCCCCCCTAGCACTGGGAAGCAAATTCGTACTTTTTAATCTCTTATATTTGTTATCTGGTTGCCGGGCAACTCACGGTGGTGTGCACACGCGTCAGCCCATTCGGCCACCGTGCCCCTTAATATCATGTACCTGTTTTACAAGGCTTCTAGGAGCACGGCTTTACAGTGCAGCCCAAGATTTCATTAAATTGACTTCACTTAATTAAATTTATTTTCCACATCTTCAAATTACATCAGGATCACAAATTTCAGAAGAGAGAAGACTGGAGGGAAGAAGCTCATCAGTCCTCAGTCAAGGATTAGGAGCTTCTTATAATAGATGAGAGTACGCTAAGGTTTCACATCAAGTTAACTGAACACACATAATAATGAAGCTTAACTTAACCTTTCCACTCTGACTGGAATAAATTAGTAAACTAGAGTATGACCACTAAATATGCAAGAAATCGACAGTGGGGAAAAGGAAAAAAAAAAAAAAAACTATTAGGTAAGGGTTATGATTGTATCCAAGGAATAGCAGCAGCCTTAGCTTTGAAGATAAAAGGAGAACCGAAATATGAAAAAAAGGCGTTGATCTCTGTAGGGAATACTAAACATCAATAGGACCAACGTAAAGTAAGGAGGTAGAGGTAGATTGGCGCTGCTGTCTCCTGCTGCAATTTCCTGTTCTAGCCATTTGGTTAACCAGGAGTTAAAAAAACAACGGAGCCAAAATTGTTGGATTTTCTAGAGATCTGATTTTTTACAAAGTAGAGCTTTGGGTACACGCTTGTGCTTCAATTCAGTTAACATTTTATTCACATAAAAAGCTAGCATGATAAGTAATTTGACATAGTTAACTGATCAAAATACCCAAAGCTATAAGGATATTATATTATGGTGGATATAATCTTAGATGACAATGTAGAACTATGACTAAGTATAAGCGTAATCTAACTTTTACAAACATGCAGCTAATCGTCAATTGAAACAGAATGAGGATTCAAGGTGCAAAAGCTATGAACATCATTAGCAGAGCTTCATTAAAGATAAACAATTATAAACTAAACACTTATAAAAAAGAAATAAAAGAGAGAAGATATAATAATTGCCGAGCTAAGCAGCCTAGCCTAAAGAGGTAGTTAGTTACCTTAATCCCCTTGTCCTGCCTGCTAGGTCTCCTGTACCTAGGCCTGCCCCTGCCACCACGGCTGCCTCTCACAGCTGGTGGGCCCCCACTGTTTCCACCTATTTCTCCTTGTCCTTCTTTACCCTCACCATCCTAGAATTTATTCAATATATCAATAATACAATTTATGACTTTAAGGGAAGAAAATTAAAATCTTTGCAGTTAAATCTTACATAATAAATTATTTAGTTAATATTGAGAGTACTTCTCCCCCCATATGCATGCAGGGGGAAAGCATATATATATATATATATATATATATATATATATATATATATATATATATATATACCAGCTATGCAGTTAAATCTTACATAATAAATTATTTAGTTAATATTGAGAGTACTTCTCCCCCCATATGCATGCAGGGGGAAAGCATATATATATACCAGCTAAATTACAGAGAGTCCAGCAATATGGCATGAAAAAATTCAAGGATTTCAAGGCTCTGAACCGTAAAATGCAAGGTGCTTACTGCCAATGTCTCGATAAGGATAAAAAAATGTGTTGGGTCAGCTTCTAATAAGTACAATTTTACTTGAGAATGAATTTGAATAACTATAAAGATTGTATTCCTGTTTGGCAATAAAAAAGTTTTTCAACTGCTAATAGTGTGGGTTTAGTACATCACCAAAAAAAATTTCCAACAGTTGACTGTTTTTCAAGGAATTCAAAGATGTTGGACACCTAGTAAATTATCGATCTACTAGAAAGAGAGCATGGAATAAACGTTTCATAATTAAAATAATAATTGTTTGTAAAACTCATCATCCCGCTTAATTGGACATAAGACAATTAAATTATATGTTTAGATGGTTCAAGATATTTAATTGGTTTATAAAAAAAACGAATAATGGCTTACTTATTGTTGATTTAATGCCTTGAATAAATAATTAGCCAATACTCTATTTTTTTTTTTTTTTACCAACTCCAGGTGTCCATCTCCTCCTTATAAGACAATTACAGTTTTAATTATTACTGATAAATCATGATCAATACATGGAGCTTACCTGAGGGGGGCGCGAAAGTGATCTTCCTTTTCCACCTCTACCTCCCCTGTATGGAAATCTAAACCTTCTTCCCCTTCCTCTTCCACGAGGAACATCGCCTCTTTCATCGCCTCCACCAACGGCATCATCACCACCTTCTCCTCCAGATTTATCTCCACCATTTTTATCACCACTCTACAAAATAAAAAACTTAAATGTATTTGATAAAAATGGTTTTCATTATTTATTAATATGACTAAATTGTTAAAGTAATAATAACTTCTCTACAGCGGACTTATACAGGGAACCGACCGAACTTTTAGTCTGGTTAAGAGACACTGTAAAGAAAAAAATATAACAAAATTGTACAACTATTATTATTTTTTTTAAAAACACTTTCCTAACATATAGATTTATAGAATATATATATATTTATAGATGGTACATGATTTAAGTAGTTTAAGTTGGTTAGTTGACGCCTTAAAATTATTTTTACCTGAATTCTGTACAACTTTTAGAGCTTTTTCTGTTAACAGAGAGCCATTTCGAGGATTATTAATTAATTTCAAAGTTAAGATTTTGCAGTTTTCTGCTTCTTTTTTTCTCTCTTTACAATGCCAGATGTGTTTACTAATCAAGCTAATAATTACAAGTACTTTTAAATCAAAATCCTTCTATCAAGGCATCCATGCCTTGTATAGAGTGGCCATTATTCAAAAGACCTTAATACTATTAAAATAACAGAAAATTTTATTGAGTTCATAACTTGATACAAAGAGAGAGAAATTGATTATCAGAAGTTTTTTGTATAAAGAAACTTTTAATTGAATAAGAATAATTTATAAAACTAAAACAGAAGAGCCATTATCACAAATTAAAGAAAAAAAGACCACCAAACAAATTCATTTAATAAATACATTAAAGATTTAAATCTTATTTTCCTTCTACACAACTTTTAATAGTATACTGCAACGATTTTTTAATTAAAATTTAATCACATTCACAATAAAACTGAATAACATAAAACACATTTGAAATATAAAATAAAAGAAGGAGATGGTCCGGGGTGGCGGTCACAAATAGGCTAAATAGTGGTAAAACTACTTTATTAAAAGCCAACATTTTGACCCGACTTTGCAGGTCTTCTTCAGGGCTAGAACGGACAAGATATAAAAAGATAGAGAATTGTGGAAGTTACATAATATTTAGACAAAAAATTATAAACAATGTGAATAAGCCTAATTAAAACTATAAACAGTAAGTCCATTAATTCTTTAATAAGAAGGAAATTCTTTAGCACCAGATGTTTCCAATAATGGTCTCAATGACCTCAGTTATCCCTTCTTTTCATAAAAAAATATGTTGATGACCTCCTCCTTGTCCTTAATCCTGACAGCATCCCTCAAATTCTTTCCTCATTCAACTCTTACCACCATCGTCTCCGTCTCTGTATAGAGAGAGAAGTTAACAATTCACTCCCCTTCACACTGACAATAATAAACAACACTGACGGCTATGTTTCTACTGACCGGTACACTAAACCCACTTACTCAGGCAGACTACTCAACTTTTATTTTCAACACCCATATCACCAAAAAATCAATACCGCCAAAAACCTTATTAACCCATCCTTCTCTTTATCTGATCCACAATACCACATACACTCCTTTATAATATACTCCTAAAAATATACTCCTTTCCAATAATTTTCCTCAGCGTGTCAAAAATATACTCCTTTCCAATAATTTTCCTCTCAACACCATAACCTTTTCACACTTTTAAACTGCTATACAACAAAAAAGAGTACCCCCTTCTCCCAACTCTCCACAATCACCTACCACTCCTTTCATATACAAATCTCTCCCCTATATTCCTATTCTCTCAGATAATATACAAAAATTCCTTAAATCGGCTATAACCAACTTATGTCTTGGTCTTAAGTCCCATAACAAATTCATTTTTTTTTTTTCCTTTTCACCAACTTGAAGGATCCCATACTTTTACACCGATCTAATGTAGTTTACTGAATACCTTGCTCTACTCCTAATTGTAATAGCTCCTATATTGGTGAAACAAAAAACCATCTTAAAACCAGCATTTCCCAACATAAAACATCCATGACTTCCCGGAACCCTTCCGCCTCCAAACTATCAGAACATGCCTTAACCCTCAACCACTCATATGATTTTTAAAACACCTATATCCTTGCCAAGACTCATTTCCGAATTCATCCACATTCACATGGAACAGAATCCTGTTAATCAAAAAGTAGATAAAAACTGTATTTCTTTAACATATAGACATCTTTTAAATCTACTTTCAATTTAATTGTTCATCATTCTAAGTATTTCCGCTTTGTATGATCTCTCTTTTATTTTATTTTAATTTTATATTTACATTCTACATCAATTTTTGATCATCCGTTTTTTATATTCATTTTACTTTTTAACCATGTCTCAATATTATCTAATATTTTAATGTAATTTTCTTACATATGCACAACCAAATATAATTATAATTATTCTTTTTTTTTTTCTTCCTTTCCTCTCTATATTTTTAAGTTAGTTCTGTATTGTATGATCTCTTATTTCTATATTTATATTTTACTTCTATGCATGTTTTACTTCTTCCATTTTTGTTTTTATTCACATTGTACTCTTATCTATAATCTCTTAATACTATTTTATTTGTTTATATTTCTAATTTAATATTTCATAGATATAGTATTTTTTCCCTTGTATCCATTCATATCTTGAAATTTTAGATACTGTAATTTTCTAGGTTTTTCTCCATTACCCAAACAAGTCAGTAAATTCCTAATACCTGCCCTTACCCTCGTTTTCCAGCTCTAAGTGAAACTGCTAGCTGAACACTCCCGTAGGTCTCTAATTTTATTTACTTATTTATTTAATTTTTTGGTTTTCTTTTCTTTCTCCACATTCCTTTATGTCTATTATTTTATATTATATTAACTACAAGAGTTGTTACCATATATTTACTTTAGTTTAGGATCTTGTTATTTAGCTTACTCTGTTTATATTTTAATGTACTTACTGTTTATAGTTTTAATTAAGCTTATTCACATTGTTTATAATTTTTTGTCTAAATATTATGTAACTTCCACAATTCTCTATCTTTTTGTATCTTGTCCGTTCTAGCCCTGAAGACCTGCAAAGTCGGGTCGAAACGTTGGCTTTTAATAAAATAGTTTTACCACTATTTAGCCTATTTATGACCGCCACCCCGGACCATCTCCTTTCTTTATAATGCAACGGTCAACTATCAAATATTTGAAATATAAAATAAAATAAAACGTAAAAGGTATCCTTAAACTTATTAGCTCTAGTAAGATGAAATGAAAAAAAAAATCTTTAATATCCTGGGACAAAGCCCCTTAAGAATAAAATTAAAATAACACTAATACTACATAACATAGTGGTCCAAAACCAACGCAGCCATACTCGTCAATATAAATAAAAAATTAGGTGAAAATAAAGATGAGACATAATCTATCGGTAATCCAGTGTAAATCCATTACAGCCTAAATTTCAAGTGAACATCTCACACATTAAAACTTGCTTAATTTAATCTGTGACAAGATCTACTAGCAGTATCGTGGACATTGCCCCGCATACTTCACCTTACCTTGACGTAATTCTCATAACTTAGTTACCTGTTGCCTTCTGGGATAGGATGAGCCCATAAACCTTCTGTTTCTGTATCTTCTAGGTTTGGCATCATCTCTGTTTACTGTCCCTTCTTCTTCATTACCATCTGTAATAGAATATATTTAATCAAATAACTTATAACTTGAATCTAATACGTCATAAAAGGAGGAAATTTAAAGGACCCATTTGTTTCTAGCACTATTTAATTTTCACATTTGAGCTCTTAACCTATCACTCATATCAGCACATCTTAATATTAATATTTACTATTTGATTAAGATAAACATGGTTTATATCACTTATATACCTACATTTTATAAAAATTGTGTTAGTATACTTTTATGTATTACACCACAAATTTCTTATTTTAAGTTTTCATAGTTTATATTTAAATAATTCCCATTAATATTTACATGTTTTAATATTTCCTTGCCTATCTATCTAACGTGTAAGATTAAGTAAAGTAGTATATAAAATTTTTTTTTTTTTTAATTTCTTTATTGAGTATTATAACAATCTGTCTGTTGGACATTGGTTATAATGAGGTAGGATGACATTCACACCATATGTACAAAAAAATAAAATAAATAGAACAAAATAATAATCAAAAGTATATACAATAGACAATAAAATAAAATAACCTAAAAAATAAGAAAATTAAAACTAAGGAAAAAAAAAAAAAAAACACATGCATACCTATATACAATCAGGCGAGGGAACTCCAGGAGAACCCTGCGCTACTCTCCCAACCGCGTCACTGGTACTAAAGCCAGCGGAGATTGGTCGAGAGCACTTTAGCCACATACACACATGTCTTGAGTGAAGAATCAGGCCATTGCCAGAACTCCAATTTATATAATCTACAAAAGGTCGCGAGGCCACTGCCGTTTCAACCTTCTTGGAGGATTATAGGGATGGGAGATGCTTGATAGGGATTGTGCAAGAGGATTTGGGTGGTAAGTAAGGTTCTGGTGAAATTTGGAGAATTTTTCTGGGATAAGGTCTAGGACAAATGGGATGTTAAGGTCATGATGTAGGGTTTTGTTGGATACATAGAAAGGAGCATCGACTATTGTTCGAAGGACTTTAGACTGGAAGGATTGGATGCGCTTGATGTTAGAAAATTTTGCTGATCCCCACAGTTCTAGTCCGTAAGTCCAAATAGGTTTCAGTATTGTCTTGTAGATCAGTAGCTTGTAAATTTGGCACAACTGAACATTGATCGTACATTGATTTAGTGCAGATCTGCTCAGTATAGTGTTATCACGTGGTTTCTAGTAGCCAAAGCGGAACTTCCCGATGACTTGGCTCTCGGTAGAGATCCGCTTCTGGGCTCCTCGAATCACCGCGGCTGTTTCCAAATATAAAATTAAATGAAACTTTTTAGTTTAACTACCAGTTAAACTATTTTTTAGTTTAATGATTGATTTTAACTACTAGTTAAAACTAGCTACTTTTAGGAACCATTATAAGATTTGATTTATCAACCATTTTATCATTGAAATTTATATTACTGTTAAAAGAATTTGAAAAATGTGTCCTATAATTAAAGATATGGCTCATACCAATAAGAATTCACTCTAATGAAAAAATTCTATTCAAATCATCAGGCTAATATGGTAGGTAACATATAGACTATATCGGTTGCAATTTTTTTTTTTGTACTTAGCCATTGAGGCCACCTAAAATCAACTCCTCTAATAAAATAGTTTTTAAAATTAGACAGAAAATATTAGCAAAATAAATATAAATAATAAATGGTTAATTAAAACGAGATAGCTACCTGTGGTGGGCTGGGCGGGGGGTCTCCTGCCACCGCCACGGCCCCTGAAGAACCACTGGCGGTAGCCTCGGCGTTTGTCAGCTGCATAGGGACTTCCTTTGACCGCCTCACCTCCAGGGCCTGTAACGTTAGCAGCCTCGTTCCCCTTTTCACCAGCAACAACGTCGAATTCGACTGTTTCCCCGTCCCCGACCGATCTCACAGCTTTTTTTGGGTTGTTCTTTACAATAGCAGACTGAAATGTTTAAATATATAAATAGTGAAAATCAACATTGAAATTTTACAATATAAAAATTTTTAAAAAAGAATTAAATTTATTTTTATTTAAATAATAATTACATCATTGATGATTTCATTCTATAAGCAAATACCTTGATCACTACATCACTGTCATGAAGTTGAAGCAGCACAAGCATGGAACCTTGTCTATTAAGAGACGAGAAGATGTGTGCAATATCAGTAAAAGGTAAATGAACTAATTTAAAGTATCCTCAGCTAGACAAATCAGGAAAATTCAATTGATACAAGGTAGCATGATATAAAAGCAGCTATTTCTGAAGTAGGGAAAGAAATCTGCCCAAAAAGAAGGCAATGTTTGGTTTGACGCAGAATGTGAGGTAGCGAAACATCAAGAAGCGGAGCATGAAAAGGTTGCAGTTTTTAAAAAGGAGTACCTGGCAAAGACACAAAGAATATAGAAATACAAGACCCTAAGTCAAGAAAGTTGTAATAATGAAAAAGCGAAAAGGGGAAGAAGAAATTGAATCTTCTAGAAAAAATAAACAAACAAGGAAATGTATAGGTAGATTAATACCACCTTTAAGAATGGGTATAGAAACCAAAATAGAGTGGTTAAGAATGATCGTGGGAGAAGTGCGAGATCAATAGAAAAAATATTTTCAGCTCTTAAATTGTGAACAGACTGAGGGAGTAAAATGGGTTAATGCAATAATGGAGAAAAAAATCAATTAAAGTGATGAAGATGTACAGCCTGATAAAGAGTATATTATGGAAACAATAGCAAGAATTAAAAGGCTCCTAGAATATATGATCTTCCAGTAAAACTTTTCAAAGGAGCGAATCGGGGGAGATTGCTGCAGTACTCCAAGAATAGCAAACATTTGGCAAGAAGAAGTGATCCCTAATGATTGGTCAAAGGGCTAAACAGTGCCAATAAATAAAAGAAATGAGGAAATCATGCAATGTAATAAACACAGGAGAATCGTCAGATCAACAATAGATTGGAATTTTTCTATTAGGCGGATCTCAGAAAAGGTGGGAGAATTTGGAAGGTCCGTATAGCTGCTGTTCATGGATTTTGAAGCATTGTTAACAGGAACATCTTGTCTACCGTAGAATTAGGGATACCAGATAAGCTGACTAGGTGTACCATACTTCAGAATGAATGCTGTGTTAAAAAGGGGATCCTTCGGAAGAATGGATAGAGGCAAGGAGATCCATTGCTCCTCTTTTATTTAACATTGTCCTGCAAACCATTGTAAAGCAAATTGAACTAGACCCAGGAGGAACCATCTAAAAGATGACCCAGACACTGGCATAAGCATATGATGTGGTCATTGGAAGATCCCTGGCTAGTGAGGTGACGTTACGTTTGATGCAGAATAGGTCTCAGAGTTAATGAGGGAAAAAGAAAGTAATGGCATTAAGGAGAAGGAAACCCATGCAACCTCAACATCCTTGTTATCAGCGACTACACCTTAGAAGTGATCAACGATTTCAGCTATCTTGTATCCCTTATCAATGAAGATGAGGATGAGTAAGAGCTGGATTAGTTACAGAAAATAAAGCATATCTTGCTCTAATTAAGCGGTACTTCTTGTCTAAGCGGCCGTTTTGAATCCTCACTTCTTATCTATCTTATCTAAGGTCATGTCATCATGTCACATAACCTCCCTCTTCTTATCCTGTCAAACTTTTGAGTTATTGCATTGTTTAGTTTTCAGTTATTCCCTTATTAAATTGTTTACCGTTTGTGTTTATTTTTAGTTTTTGGCCCGTTTGTGTTTATTTTACATTTTTTTTTAGTCTGTGACCCCTTGGTGTTCATTTTTATTTTTTTTTTGGTTATTTTCGTCATATTATGGATCCCCTTAGAATATGGGATTTACCGTCTTCAGAAGAACAGGCAATTCAATATTTTCAAAATGTTGGGGTACTTGCCGACGTGAAATTGTGTGAACGAGGTCATCGAATGAAGTTAACCAAGAAGGCCAAATGGAGATGCTTTCGTAAGACTTGTGACACAAAACTTTCAATAAGGAAAGCAACATGGTTGGAGGGCTCGAGGATTTTGTTTTTAACAGCTTTAAAATTGATTTATGGGTGGTCCCATAGCTTGACAACGTGGAACAAAAAAGAAAAAAACTTGGAGGACCTGGCAAAGTGGTTGAAGTAGACGAAAGTCTTTTTTCTAAACGAAAAAATCATGTGGGGAGAGTTTTATCTCAGCAATGGATGTTTGGTGGAGTTTGCCGAGAAACAGATAAATGTTTTATTGTCAAAATAATTGACAGAAAGGCAACAACATTATTACAAGCCATTAAAGAAAATATAGAAGAGGGGACGACCATTTATTCGGACTGTTGGAAAGGATACAACACCCGACAACTGAACGAAGCAAACTATGACTGTTTCCAAGTGAATCACCGGTATAATTTTGTCGATCCATCAACTGGGGTTCATACTCAACACATAGAACGATTGTGGGGCTTAGCTGAAATAAAGTACATAGAGGATTGAACTGCCAGAAAACACCTCGATTCATATTTGTGCGAATTTTTGTGGCGGCTGGTTCACAGAGAAGAGGACCCGTTCCTCGCTATTTTGAATAGCATAAAACAATTTTGCCTTCCAAAATAAATAAGACAAAAGGAAGTGAATAATTAACTTAAAATAATTTGTATATATGTTGTTTATAGTGTTGATATTTTTTCTTTTCTTTTGTATATATGTTATTTTTTCTTTTCTATGTAAATATGTTCTTTTAAATTTTTTTTTTATTTCATTTTGATGTTTTATATGTACATATCTTCTTAAAGTGTTTTTTTTTATTATTTCATTAATATATTTGTCGTAAAAAAAAGTATTTTTGTTGTTATTACATTTATTTTTGTATCTGTTTACACTTTCAATAATACAAATTTAATACAATAATACGAAGATTTGAAGTAGGAGAAGGCTTATCACTGCATTATGGGAATACGAAGATGTGAAGTAGGAGAAGGCTTATCACTGCATTATGGGAGTTATCAGTGTTCAGGTTATAAACATTGGCAGATAGCAGTCAGTAGCGGCCCCTTAGACAAGAAGTACGAATTAAGCTATTATGAAGTAGGTTGCTGATCAAGACCACTAAGATTAGGCCGTACAAAACACTTAATAGACATGTAATAAGGTATGGATGTGAGACATGGAACGTTTATAATTGACAGATTTAAAAGAAAAGAACTTAAGACGGATCTTCGTAATCGGTGAAAACAACAGTAAATAAAATTTGTATGTTGTAATCAAAGTAATTATTAAGAATTTGATAAACATTAATTGAAACTTGAACTATTACAGTTCAGGCAAGGAAGTACAGTACTGTTTATTGGCGAACAGTAAAAACAGTTTTTATTATCAGCATTTATGCTAAAATGCAAAACAAACAGTCACATTTGAAATGGTTGATAGTTTTGTGTACCTCGGTCCAATCATCTAAGCAGCTGGAAATCAGCTAACAAGTACAGAATTTTGGCTGCCAATAAATGCTATTTTGTAATGGCAAAAACATTAGAAAGTTGTCATCTATTATCAAGAAAAACCAAGACCACACTATATTAAATGCTTAAAAGACCTATTTTAACGTGTTCCTCAGGAACCTGGCCTCTGTTTATATCTGATGATAATAGTTCACTGCTCTTCGAAAGAATAGTTTTAATTTAAGAAAAATATTTGGAGCTGTAAGAACACATGATCACTTAAGATAAAAGCACAATGCAGTTGTACCCAATTTAACAGGAGCCAGATGTATTTCAAACCTTTGTGGTTCATTACCTGGATTCTGAATATATGGTGATAACATATATATATATATATATATATATATATATATATATATATATATATATATATAACATATATATATATTATGTTATCACCATATATTCAGAATCCAGGTAATGAACCACAAAGGTTTGAGATACATCTGGCATCTGTTAAATTGGGTACAACTGCATTGTGCTTTTATCTTAAGTGATCATGTGTTCTTACAGCTCCAAATATTTTTCTTAAATTAAAACTATTCTTTCGAAGAGCAGTGAACTGTATATATATATATATATATATATATATATATATATATATATATATATATATATATATATATATGTTTAATAGGAAGTGATAACTAAAAAAATATTTAATTTAGGTAATTAACGATTGCATCACAGTAAACTAGAAAAAAATTAGAAAGTGGAGTTTGTCATTGCTAAAATTGTTTAAAGAAGATGCAGCTAAATTAAGCTAAACTCTGTTTTAAAAAAAATAATAAATCATTCGTGATTATTAATTATCCTCACTAGGTTTATTCGGGAAAAAGTAAATCGGAAAAGAATGATAAATTACTTTTGTTGTCAAACCATTGTAGTAATGAAAACAATAATAATAAAAAGTAGATAAATATTTTAACGAATGATTTACACCTGTACCTTAATATGTTCAAATGAATACTTGTAATAGTATTGTAAACATTTATTCATAAAAACAAAAAAAATCTGGTGGGCGCATCACAAGACTTTCACTTACCTCCCTCTTCTTAGCAGAAATAAGTATTTTCAGACAAAGGGAAAGTGAAAGTAAAAATTATAGACACCATATTTATTTTCTTTTTATTGTGGGTATTTTTATTTGTTTAAATACCCTCATATGGTCAAATTTTAAATTTTATATCTCCGTATTCTATACAACTAATATTAAATTAATTAGCATTTATGAAAACCACATATGTATATGTACATAATATTGTCGGATTCCGTATTATATTAAGCTCATGCTACGTATGAAGTCTGTTGTACTCTTTTGGGCAAGCTCAGACGCACCAGACGAATACGTGTCTTTTAATTACTATTTTAATTACAACTATCATCCGTTAGGATCTCAAATATCTTCTTTAGGTAATTATCAAATTCTTTCATATTTTATATTTAACTATTTTTTGTTTCAAATATTAATGTGAAATGGTTAATTATTTCAAATAAAAAAAAATTAAAGGTACTTTCGAGGAACCTAATATTGAAAATTAGGCATCTAAGCCTTGTTAAAGAACATCAATTAGAATAAAAACTACATTTTATTTAAAACTGCTTAATTTTACACTAATATGATAAATTTAGAGTTTCGTATGGCTTTTCATTTTTAAGCCAGGCTGTTCCTGCACACACACCATTTTGTGGGACTTTTGGTCATTTGGACTCAGGGTAACTCAAAACGTATTTCGGTTGGAAATTGAGATTCAAAAAGTTTCATGATCGCAATACTTACCCTTACCCAATTATTACATATATAGAATAGATAAGTGAAAGTAAAAATTATTATAATGATTTTTTTTTTCTGGTAAAGTGGTTATGAAACTGTTTTTCATCCACATCTCTATTATATGAATTGATCCGTATATATAAGTGACAAACTAAATGTTCTTGATCCTAATTTTTATGTTTACAATAAAGAAACCTGCTGATGGCTACAATTATCTTTAAAAAGGAATTTTTTATTAATTAAATTAAATATATCTTTCGTTATTGCTTCCAATTCAACAAAAAACATGTCACTTAAAAAACACAAAACATGCATTTTCTACTTTCTGTTAAAAACTGGCCCATTGTTTATATTAACTTTTTTGTAGCTCTTGAGGTCGATCTGCTATCACTTTTATAAACACCCCCTCTACTTACGGATTTTATATATATATATATATATATATATATATATATATATATATATATATATATATATATATATATATATATATATATAGAGAGAGAGAGAGAGAGAGAGGGAGAGAGAGAGAGAGAGATGGAAGGATAGTATGGCAAGGGAATAATAAATCGTCAGATTAAGAAAGAAAAAAAATGAGAAGTAATATAACTTAGACTCATAAAGCAGTTACATAATGATTTAATAATAGCCAAGTTACTAATGCAACATTCATTACCTGATGTACAAATACGTCTTCACCGGTATCTTTTCTGAAACAAAAAAAAAAGTATATATTATTATACAATTTAATATAAGTATTTTACTAATCTATTTCTAATTTGCTTTTAATTAAAGAGATAGAATTGTAAAAAATGAAAAATTTAAAATCTTCTAAGTAGATTTTTTAATTTATCTATTAGCTTTTTAAGTTTTCATTTCTCTTTCTATTTTTAACAAGGAGTGAATTGATGATTAGTAGAATTAGATAAATGTACTTGAATATGCAGTAATTATTCAAAATTTCAAGATTCATATTTTGATATAGGAATCTTTAAAGATTTGTATCCAAAAAAAAAATTAAAAAAAATACTTCAAGTAATGACTTGGAAATAACTTATTTTTAGTGATCACTGATAAATTCTTTATAGAATTGCCACTGCATATAATCACCCATATAATAAAAAATACCTAAATCTTGTAATTCATTGGTGTTGTTAATCAGATTTATATCGATTTTATTCTTCAAGCTGCGCCTTATGGAAACATCCCATTAGGTTAGAATCGCTAATTAACATCCCATAAAGTTAGAAACCGTCATTTTGTTTCCTTGCTACCGAAGGTAGGGAAGTATTGTGTTCCTGCGACAGATTAAAAAAAAAATTATGCACAGAATCGAAAATTTCCACTCGTGTTTTACGTTTCAGACATCAAGAATCAAATTTGATTCGGCGTCTGTCTTTTGGTATGTCTGTAGTCAAATCGATGCAACGGGCCTACGGGCATACCACCATCCGATTTTCATGAAATTTTCAGGGATTGTGCAGGTCGGTGTCTTGATGGTCTCATATCAATTTCATCAAATTCCACCTAGCGCTTCCGTTTACGAACGCAAAAACCTATTTTTTTTAGGATACGCTAATGTTTCAGAAACGGCTCGTTCGATTTGACTCAAAGTTAAAAAAAAAAAAAGATAGGTATTAATAAAAAAATAACGCACTATCAATTCCATTAAAATCTCTCCTCTACTTTCTCTTATATATGCACAAACGTGTTTTCCTTGATAGGTCTATATCTTTAAATTAAAACCGCACGTTTGATTTAGCTCAAATTTGGAGGAAAGTTGGGGATTGGTTAACAGATAATTAAGTGAATATCAATTTTATATATTTCTATCCACTACTCTCAATAAAAATTATAAAATTTAATAAGGCTTTATTCAAAAAGTTAATTGATACTGTATTGTTTGGTCGCTTCCAAATGTTACTAGACATGATGTTTACCGCCGTTATTCAGATTTCGGGTAACTTTGAATAAATATAAATTAATTCTTACTCTAAGTTTGTAAAACAAAAAAGTAGTCGAATTTATGATTGCGTTTATTTCTATTGAAGTTCAACCAGCCCGTCGTGGTCTCGATTTCAATCTTAAACATAAAAGTTGTGAGAACTTCAATTATATTTTTGTATTCCAGCTTAGATTAGTCTTGTTCTGACTGAAGAACCAACAAACAAAAAGTTGAATTATTCCTATGGATTTTTTTGTTTCATCCATTTTACGTGTGAAAACATACCTATTAGGTATATAACTACTGTTCATCTTTTGCTGAATGTACAAATTTTCAATTTTATTCTATGATTGATATTTTGTAATCTGTAACTGATATAAGTAGTCTGCATCAATGGAAAATATTAGAGAGCAATAAAATATAAAATTATACTAATTATAATAAATCATGAAGAAATCATTAGTTTTTATGCTCTCCTGTAAAAAAGTCATTTTGTACATATGATCTCTTGCACTAACACACTGATATGCATGCTCAGTATGCACTGGATTTTTTTTTTGTTTTATCACGAATTATCAAATATGCAATCTGCAAATGCGGAACTCTTTCGCATTTTAGTATTTGCTGATGAACAAAACTCGTGGATATTAAACATGTATATGTTGAGGGATTACTGAATTTTCGAAAACGGCTTCTCCCATAGATTTTATTCTGTTACGAAAGAATTTAGATCTTGTAATAAAAATACTTTGTAGCTAATGAAAAGGAAAAGGTGAGGAAGCTATACTGACCTAACTTGGGACTTTTTTTTTTTTTTTTTTGCCAGATATCAGAGGATAGTTCGGGTTTAAAAAGAGTGGATTCACTTTGACACGTCTTATTTAATTTAGCTCCAAAGAGGTGATACATATCTAAAAAGGTTTGTACCAGTTTTGGTATCCAAATGAATAGGAGGGAGCTGAAAGTGAAGACGTGGTAACAATAGAACTTAATACAATGTTGACGAAAGCCAGGAAGGAACGAGGGGGGCTCGAAATAAAAATGGTAAGGCAAAATATATGAATAGCTGCAGGAACGGAGAGGATTTCGGTGATACAACTTAATAAACATGGAGCATCAGAAAATTCCGAGTTGTTAATATGTGATTATCACATATATCATTTATCATAAATTGAGTTGTTTAGACAACAGTGCAGAAATACACCATTCTGTATTCAATTAGTTGAATAATTTCGACAGGAGAGCCCGTTCCCTCCAAGGTTGATGGCATATACCCCTCTCCTAAGGAATATTATAGCTCTCCTCTCCCCCGCAAAATTAGAATTATTAAATTTGTAGTCCATAAACAATTACAATTGCTGAGGTCTATTGCCACTGCAACTGGTTAAAAAATAACTCCAATATTTATACTCCGCAAAAAGTGTACTAAAACGTTGTTTTCTCCAAAAATACACAAATGTTTCAAAATGTACTATGGCACCCAGTTCTGGAGACACCTGAATTTCGGTAAGTAAATCAATCGGCCCCTGACCCTTTAATCGGCTTTTAGAGACCGGCTATAACAAAGAGGATTGATTGGCATGGCTTCAACATTCTTGGCTGGCAGAATGTTCTCTTCACAAATTGTCCTCTACTCCACAACTAAAAGAATCCAATGTAAATACAAGAAAGGTAGCAATAAATTTATTAAGCGGAAGGAAACGTGTTGTAAAAAATAAGTAAAAGCTTTGATATCATCAGATAGATAATCGGCCATTACCTTTCAATGCACCATAAGATGGGTTCTACTCGATTCCAGTAGGGGGATAACTTGGGCACACCGAGAAAATATTTTAATTACACTTGAGTCTCCTTATTAGTAAATTATAGGCATAATTCACAATCTCTACTGCAGGTAGCAGCACTACCTGCTACGCCATTTATTTAAATTTAAATATCGAATAAAAAAAAAATAATCCTCATATTGAATTTAAATAAAATTCCATTCATTCATATTAGTTAAAAAATTTAAAGCAAGGAAAAACCTATTTTTCTCCGCATAGTTTTCAGGATAGGATTTGTTGCGAAAATTGTCTGAGAGCAAATCTTCCAAAGAAAAGAGAAGACAAATAAAATGAAGTTACTGAAATGAATTTAATAAAAAATCATGGAGACATTTGAAATAAAATAAATATTAGTTATAAATATTAATAGTTTCACTAAGAACAATGGTAAACTTGACGTTTAGAGGAATTTGATTAAGGATACACGGATGATTATTAAAAGTTGTGTTTCTTTTACATTCTGATACAGTACGTTTTAGGCGCAACCACGATCAATTGCACTTTACTGGACATTTTTACTAATATTCTTTAAGGATAGACGTTAAAAAATAATTAAACTGTTTATTGTTAGATGTATTTTAATTTTGTGAGAATGTGAGTCGAGTTTTTGATAGATGAGTCTTTGTCAGGATCCCTATCTTCGAATGAATGAGATGAAATAAAACTGGATCACAGTTTAATATTCTGCTGCCTGAGATGGATTTTCGTATAGACATAATACTCTGTAAAATATGCGTGGCTCAAGGTTGCGCCTGTTTGTTGACGCTACGCTCGGTAGTGATAGAGTAAGGTAGAACCGACAGGAAACGTACGTGACTGTAACTGCATAGGTTACAATATTATCTTTATCTCTTTGGAAGACATTTGTTGCTAAATATATATAAGGAATAGAGCTTGAAAGTATAAAAGGAAGAGTGCGAAGGCAGGGAGCAGCGCGGCTGCGCGGGTCGATGCGATGGTGGGGGCACCGCATGCAGCTGTCACCGACCCCTTCCAGCTCCCACATCTACTATCCGCTGCCTCTTCGCGTCTTCTGCAAAACTGTCTCCGTAGATTTGAATACTATTAAAATCACCAGGCCTTACACACCATATCCATCTTTACGAATCAGAGCAACAAGTAGAATAAAGATAAGTGGACAATTGGAAAAGCAATCAACTGAAATTGATCGCAGAAAATGAACTCCGCAAATCTTTAAATCGGAAGTATTTAGAAGTAATAATTAGTGAAGTAAAAAAAACTTCATGATATTAAAATGGCTAAACGAAAAAACTCTTCGGCCAAAATTGCCATAATTTTTCACCCTTCATCTAGTATCATCCTTTAATCTATTGTTTCAGTAGCAAATTGTTCAATTGACAGCATCGACAAAGTAAACATTTTTAAAGGCCAATTTAAACGGCCAAGTTTCTCTACCAAAGCTTTATTACAGAAATTGTAGTTAAATAGTTTGGTTTAAACCAACAGGGGAAGATTACTAATTCTTTTTTACTCTCTCGCACAAGTATGAAACTTTTCAACCTTAATTGGTAATGTATATATCAAATAATAAATAATTAGCCATCACACCGTTCATTCACCAAAAAGCCCTTATCTAAAAACTTGCGAAAGAGAAATCATAGTGGGAAAAGAAATGCAACTTGTCGACAAATTATTTGTTTCAAATCTGGAAAAAATTCAGCAATATCCTGCCTCTTATAAACGACTGATTTTTCATCCGCTTCCTTCAGGCAAAGCTAACTCTAATCAGTCAGGTTTCACGGAAAAACAACCATTTGGAGAACGAAGAAAAAGTTTTGGAAGACTACTATGCGACATTTTCAGGACGTAAGAGCTGCAGGGCTAAATATTATTACCTATGCGGCAAGTCCCCTGCCTTCAGAGGCAGTGTTGGCTGAGCGCGTAAGAGGTAAAAGCTCTCGTTTTCGAGTCTAGCGCGGTG